ACATTTTTTTAGCTTCATAGGTTCGATTGGGAAGAACATTATCCTCTGGAAGCATCTCTTTCATAAGGGCTAATAACTGTGAAAATTTTATCCGACCATCCATTACCCGCCTTTAAGTTGTACAACTTTAATACCACAGACAATCTTGTGAAAGTAGTGCAACCTTTATACAACGGTTTCTCTGCATCGCTTACCAACCTCTCAAACATCTTAGGACAATCATGAAGATCTTCTTCAAGTGCTTCTGCAATCTCTTTGACTCGATCACAATCATATGTGTCTCTGCCATTGTCATTTGAAGCATATGTCGTATTATCCCCCGGTTTGACATTCTCGTCACTTATCTTACCATGTAATGTCCAACATGTATAACTTCGATCAATTCCATGTCTCTTTAAATGAAATTCAACCTGAACTGCGTCAATCCGACGCCCATAACAGAAACCTAAGCAAGGACATGTGATCCTACTGGGGTTTTTGGCGTGTTCAACAGCAAACTTAACGAATTTTGATACCCCATTCTCGTACTCTTTTGAAAATCGATTAGAAGACATCCATTTTTTATCCATACTAATTAAGTAGGCTAAACAAAAATAGTGTAATACGTGTAGCACCTATAGAGAAATCACCAACTTCTAGAACTACACAGTTGGATTCTTGGAAACGATCACAATCTTGCTCTTCACAGGTAACCCCTATAACAGACAAAATTAACATCATCAACATTAAATAATTCTTGGAAATGATCAAAATTAACGGACATAAATAATTCATTTACTTTCGTCAACAACATCAACATCATTAACATCAACACTAACAACATCAACAACAACATTATCGTTACTTAATTCAAGTTTCCATCAACAATAATAACATTAACATATATACGAAATTAACTCATTTTTTTTACCAACAACATCAACATCATTAACATCAACACTAGCAACAACAACATTAACACTAACAACAACAACATCAACATCATTTGTTTCCAGCAACAACATTTTAAAAAAACTTCAATACTAACAACAACATAATTGTTTCCATCAACAACATCAATAACAACATTAACATCAACACTAACAACAACAACATTAACATCATTTGTTTCCATCAACATTATCATTTTAACATCAACAACAATCCTAACAACAACAACTTTAACATCATTTGTTTCCATCAACATTATCATTTTAACATCAACAACAACACTAACAACAACAATATTAACATCAACACTAACAACAACAACATTAACATCATTTGTTTCCATCAACATTATCATTTTAACATCAACAACAACACTAACAACAACATAATCATTACTAACAACAACATTATCATTTGTTTCCATCAACACCATTTAAAAAAAAAAACCTCAATACCTTAAAAAATAATGGAAATGGTCGGACGGAGGAGGTGGAGGAGGAAGAACACGACGGACGGACGGACGACGACGAACGTACGGTGACAGACGGAGGTGGTCGGACGAAGACAACGGACGAAAGTGAGATATAGAGGGAGTAGGGTTTATCGCGAGTTGGAATAAAGGTTTAAACCACGACTGTTCTATTTCTGAAAAATTCTGAGTTTTATTCAATTTATGATACTTAAACATATAGTAGCGCTTTTGCATGGCCTTTAGCAGCACTTTATAAAAGCGCTCTCTAAGGTCTGCCTTAGGCAGGACCTATAGCAGCGCTTTTATAAAAGCGCTTTCTTTTGTACCCCCTTTAGCAGCGCTTTCTCAAAGCGCTTTCGTAGGTTACCCCTTTAGCAGCACTTTCGTAGGTTACCCCTATAGCAGCGCTTTCTCAAAGCGCTTTCGTAGGGCCCCCATTTAACAGCGCTTTCTATTTTAAGCCAAAACTGCCACCTTTAGCAGGGCTTTTCTAAAAGCGTTGTCTAAAGTCTACATTTTTTTTCTTTTCTTTTTTCCTGACTCTTTAGCAGCGCTTTTGCAGAAAGCGCTGCCTTTCCTATGCTGCCAAAAACCATTTTTGTCGTAGTGTGTGATGTTTCTGTGATTCTCGTGGAATCTTTAGTACTTGGACTTGTCGATGTTGAGTTTGGGGGGCGTCGATTTCGAAAAGCAGGCCCTACCTCTTTAGAACTCCGAGTTGATACACTTGGACAGGATGCGCTCGCGGGGAGCGGTGAGTAACGTATACTCAGTGAAACAGTCTGCAGGTCCCCGGTGTTCTAGGGAGTCGCGGGGTCGGTCTTCTCTTCTTTTGTCTCTGGCACGCCGGGGAGCGACAGATTCTTCGTGTCTGGAAACTTTAGTACCTTCCAAGTTTCTCGAATCGCGGACACTATTGGTGGCCTCCTTCTCCTCATATTGGATGTAGGATTGGGCCTTTTTAAGGAGTTCGTCCAGTGTGTTAGGCCTTTCATTATCAACCGCATTGGCGAAATCGCTCTGGGGTCGCAGCCCTCGCTCGATCAGGTATCTCTTCATGTTTTCTGTCGTGGACATGTGGACGACTTCTCGATTGAATCTCTCTACGTAGTCTCCAAGAGATTCATCTTTCCCCTGAATGATAGCCTCTAGGGATGCCTTCATCGTCGGATATCGCTGAAAGGCGGTGAAGTTCCTGGAGAACTGCCTTTTTAGCTCTTTCCACGAATTGATGAATTCGAGATCGAGGCTTTTGTACCATGCCATCGCGCCCTTCCTCAGGGTCTTCGGGAAGAGCCGTAACTTTATAGCTCCCCGGACGTTGCGGTATTCGAGCATGGCATCGATGCTCTTAATGTGGTCGTTCGGGTCGGTCGTACCATCATAGGTCTTCAGGCTCGGTAGTTTCTCCATCCTAACGGGGAGGCGAGTCTCCATGATGGCCCTGGACAGCGGTGCACGGGGGTCGTCCTCGTCGCTCTTGATGGGAGATTATGAAGGGGATAAGTCATATTGTAGGCTCCTCGTTCGAGTCTTTGGCTTTCCCATCTACCCATCGACTTTGTGTATCTTAGGAGTCGGGGAGCGTCGCTGTGGGCTTCTGGGTTGCTGTGGGCTGAGGCCTCTCTAGCCGTGGGCGACGTCCACGTTATCGCGAGAAGGGCTTCGAGATTCGTCTCGTTGGTGTCTCCGCGGGGAGAAAGGAGACGTGTTTCTCGCTATCTCGGGGACGGGCTGCGAGAAACGGGGTGCCTATGTCTCCGCGGGGGAGAATGCATCTATCGCTTCTTTTCCAGCATCCTGATCCATTCGTTCTGCTGGAAAATCATCAGGTTCGTCTAGTTAATCGCCGCGAACAAAGCTACAGCTGGAAGACAGCCAAACTATTGAACCGTTATACAGTGTTGTGGCTGCATCGTTGGAGCAAGGAGAGGCGGTGCGCCCGTCCCTGAGGTCACCTTCTTCGACTGAGACAGTCGTGTCCGAGTCATGGTCATCAGCGTTGGTGAAGGTGGTGAAAGCGGTTTCGTGGAGCTTGTCATCAACGCGTGGGCTGGCCATGATCGATGGAGGTTGAGATGCTTTGATTTTTTGGTTTTTGGGAAATAAAAAACGGGAAAGCAAAAGTTTCTCACAGACGGCGCCATGGATCTTACCAGACCAGAAAGAGATCAGTGCCAGCATGCGTCATGAGTTCCTAATTCTCCAATGGTAGAAAAGAGAAGGGGGTGTACCTACAAGGTACTCTGATGCCAAAGTAAAAAATGGACTAAGAGAAAGCAAGTACAGAAAGTTGATTGTGAAAAGAATACTTGATCCTCTAGTGAAAGAGGGTATTTATAATGTATCTCAAGCGTTGGGTCGACGGTTATTTTACATTGGGTTGCATCACTAGGTCCAATACGAATAACTGTCAGGATCTATGTGGCGTAGAAAAAACTAGCACATGGTCTTCATCCTGGTCCAACTGTCTCGTGATATTCAGAAGGTGGGTGACATGTTCTTTCGGACACGGGTAGTTGTCTGATGATGTGTCCTCGCGTGGAGAGCACGTGGAAACCGTGGGAGAGAGGTGTGAGTGTTCCCCGTGTGAGTTGATGAATTGGACCATCACTGAGCCCTCCTCAACAAGAAGTTGGGTTGGATCGTGTCCTACTGTGAGTCAGCTTCTTGCTCAGTTCTGAACAGAATCTCAAAGCAATTTAAGATTCTCCACCCTAATTATAATTACCACAATCTAAAATCTAAAATCAAGTATATATAAATTTTAAGTTTTTCAAAGAAAATATAGATATTTTAAATCTGATATAATAAAAGTGAAATATTCCTTCAAAAATTATAATATAGTGTGTAACGATATTATTGTATGAAAAAAAAAAAGAAGCAAAAATGGTATATAATGAGAAGATGTGATCGAATAGATGATTGTGTAAAACTTTCGTAAAACAAAAAAGAATTTCCTTATTTCACCTTTATATCCTAAATCTAAATCATTCACTGCCAATGATATCCACTTCAAAAAAAAAAAAAAAAAACTTATTACACACTCGGATATTACACCATTAAATTGACATTGACATTTTAATTTGTTTATAGCAAAATAGGTTTTTCAAAAATGTATACTACTTCAACATAATTTATTTTTATAATAATAATTGATACCGTAAGAGAAAAAAGAAATTCCATGATTAATAAATTTTGTTTCAATTTTTCAAAGTCCAATTTTTACACAATACCTAGTCAAATTATTTCATCATTTTTATGAATTAAAAGAAAAAAAAATGAGGTTGAAAGGATGAAAACATGTGACATGGTGTTAATTTTATAATGAGGTTGGGAATCTCTCTAAATTGCATTGGTCCAAACTTGCAAGCAAGGTATTTCTTGAAGCATCAAAATCAGAGTTACTTAGAGAGCAAACTAATTCCTAATCACAAAAATTACTGCCTCTTCATCACGTTTTCTTCTATGAATTCAATGATTCCACACAACCACCAAGGCCAAAACCTGCCACTTTTTTCCCTTTCACACCTCAACATGCATATTTTCCTTTAAAGCCTACAATTTCATCATTCATCATAAAAATATTTGATTTTTAATGGGTGGCCAACAAAAGAAGATTATGGGTTTCAAAGCTTCTCATAAGCCTGTAGGGTTTGACCTTATGCAGAACTGCGATCTTCCTCCACCTTCCAAGGTTTTTCTAGGTTCTGATAAAACTGTCATATTATCTATGAATAAGGTCTGTAATATTTCAGGCAGAGAAAAAGAGCGAGATAGCAAACACGATGGTGCTTACCAGCTCGAAAATGGTGATGAGGAAAAGGATAAAGGGGAGCTTCTTAAGGCGTTGAAAGCATCTCAAACACGCGCTAGAGAAGCAGAAAAGATGGCTGCTATTCTAAACAAAGAGAAGGATGGTCTCTCTGTTGCTTTGTTGGAAGAGGCCATGCAGTTGTTTGCTTGTCGCCAAAGCGTGAGATTGCTTGAGCTTCAAGTTTTGAAGCTGCAGCAAAAGCCAGCAATGTTGGTGCCTGCAGAGGAGGCTGTAGGATTACCCCATGAAGAAACAGTTAGTGTCTCATGGGTTCTGGCTATAATTTTTTCATTGGGAATTGGGGTTTCCACTGCCCTTGCTTGGGGTTACTAGTCCTGCTGATATTGCAGATATGTAGTTGATACATGAAAGATAGACATATATTTTTGTATCATTATCTGTTTTTGTTTATGAGAAATGATATGGTTACACTCAAAAGTAACACTACACCTACTTTTATACTATACATTCTACTTTTTTTATTTTATTTATTATTTTTATGAAAATGAAAATTTGTGCTGCATTGAAAATAAAGCTAGGAGCTACATGTACGGTGTAAAATATTATTTTTTTATTTTATTTATTATTTTTATGAAAATGAAAATTTGTGCTGCATTGAAAATAAAGTTAGGAGCTACAAAAAGACCCAAATGATGCAAACTTAGATTAAAGAAATCTCGTGTACCAGATGGGTACAGAGTAGTGTAGAACTGCTATTATATATACATTAGTTCACACATCTTTGCATTTTCCAACGCCTATGCACATAATATTATTTACCACTACATTAAACTTACAATCACCACACAAATAGCAATTTATATGGTTAAGTGTATAGCTCTCATATGATCATAACATTCATCGCTTTCTAAAAAGATTTCCAAGCAAACCCAGCAGACATGTTTTCCACACTTGCACTCAATGTGATTGCACCCATCAACCTTTTCAATTATTTGCCCACAAGCAGAACAGCTCTTTACTTGTGCTTTCCCTTTACACCACTCCCTCAGAGATGTGATCTCTGGGTCATCTTTAAGTTCTCGGTATCTCTCGCATGAAACGAATGGATGATACTCTAAGTGGCACTTGGTACAAGTGTCTGAATAACATGCTCCACAAGTAAATAGCTCACTGCCAGTGTCAGGATCTGCAACTCGATAAATTGAGGGGCAGTCGGGAGACGGGCAAAACCTATAGGTTCCTGAACTTGAAGCTACAAAAGCTCGCAAAGAAGCCCTGAAAAGTTCATCCAACTTGTCATTTGACAGGAGAGTTCTGAAATCTGTAAGCAGAATAGGATCTCCACAGCCCGTGTGAGCACAACATATTGGGAAACTGCCTTGGTTTCTTATAGCAGATTCACACTGCTCAACCAGACACGACCGACAGAACAAATGACGGCAGCCTTCAAGTTGATATCCATCCTCAACCTCACACAGGCAAACTGGGCAACTAGGTCCTGTGTCAAGTGTCTCAACTAAATGAATGCTTGAACGCGCAATCTCCAAAGTTATTTCCTCTACTCTAGGTTTCAATTCCTTGTTACCATTAAGAAAAATTGCCTGTTGACGTGTGTTAAGTTTGAGATCAGCCCCAGGTACCTTCTCTTTTAGCCCATGAAGATCTGGCCCAAAAGTCTTAACCACTTGTTTCATCAAGTCAGAAGGTAGGTCCTTCCCTCTCAGAGGGATTACTAACTGCTTTTCTTCATGGAGGGAGAGTAAAGATTGAACTAACTTCTGCTGAGCCAAAGCAATCTTTTCTGGCGAACCAAAAATCCTTAAATTCAGGCTGTGCCTGTCAAAAACTATGTAAGTTTTTGTCTCTTGCTGTATGGAGCATTTAAGACTAATGCCCTCTCTGGACAACATGAGTTGTTGAGCTGCGGGAGTAAGACTTCCATGATCAATGATTTTTCCTCTCGACAGTTCTTCCAGAGGTCTCCTAACTTCTGCCACTGTCTTGGTAGCATTTGCTGTTATTGTCAATCGGTGGGAACCATTAGCAGTTCTGTTTAGGTTCCACTCAAGACCTAACCAAAAGACCATTGATTGTCAGCAGTCAAAAAAGATGCTATAAACAACATGACAGAAACTAACAATCAAAAAAAGGGTGATTTATTTTGGACAGAAATATCCTTAGAACACAATTTCAAATAACAGGGGCCTTTTTTTATAAATGCTACCAAAATTATTAGTTCCCATTTTGCAAGAAATTCCATAATGGAAGTAAACTATGTCCACTCCCTTAAATTGTGCCCATTTTAAACAATTAGTGCCTTAAATCCGCATCCTTACATATAATACATCAACTGCTAAGAAACAAGTAAAATATGGGACCAAAACCAAAAAGGAAAAAAGAAAAAAAAATACTACTCACTTCTCTCGTTTTTCCAACCTGTTCTCTTTGGGAGGCAAGGGGTGCAAAAACATACTGCTGAAGCTTAGCTGGATATAAGTTAATATTTTTATTTTAAAAAAACAACACAATTGAACAAAACACATGGTGAAAACATCTTTTAGGGGGGAATATTAAGTTGCAGCCATGTAAATAAAAGGCTCAGCTTTTGAAAAAACATCAACAGAAGAATTACCAACATCTATAAAAGAAATTGAGCATAATGATGAAATACCATTTAAATTTTTGAAGTTTGCAAGTATGTTTTCCAATTGCTCCGCAATCACGTGATACACTGGTGCAGGAAATATCAAGGTGCTATGAAACAACTGTTCGCACATTATCTTTTGCCATGAGAGACATCCGGGTAATACATTTCCTTCAATTTCTTCCAAAGCTTTAGCTGCTTCTAAATGTAATCTTCCATCAAAATTAATTAAAGCTTTCATGTAAGAATCCTTTGGCTCAGGTGGAAATACCTGAACACGGCAAGAACTAATATGAGGGTCTACCTTGGGGATTAATGGGGAAATTACTTTAAAGAGTGCCTCTTCGCAGGCACTGCATGGTTGATTTCCAACAGCCTCTCCCCTCACCACAAAAAAGTCCAGAATCCTTCTACTTGTAGCATTTCTTAGTACAGCCAAAATTTCTGTTTCTTGAAGCTCTTTGTCAAGCCCACTTATCATAATACCGTCCATAGACTTATTACTAGGTGCACAACAAACACGTCTCCCTCCAATTGCAAGGTTACAAAAATCTCTCAACATGAAATTAACATCATTTTTATCACATATAACTATGCCAAATCCTCTACTAAGTCTGCGAGGCCAGAAAATTTTTGCTTTAACTTTAGGAAATGTTTTATCACCTCCCATAGCTGATTGCGAAGGAAGTATTTTCAAGTATGAGCCACAAAACTCTTCTCCATCCAGCTCAACGGCTCTTTTGGCAGCATCAGGGGTCAAAAATGTTATCTTGCCCCACTTTTCTTTATCTGGAAGATCCTTCCCCATTCCTGAGAACTTGTACACAGCACATATAGAACCTGAGGTATTCTTTTCAAAAAACATCAAGAGCTCCTTGTCATCAATTGCAATTATGTTTGGATGGTACACATCAACACTCAAGGAATGCTTCTCGAGTTCCAGATGCTTTATCTCAGCACCAGACCCAAACAAAGCCATAGGTGATGAGGAACCAGACCCGTGATACAAACATTTTTCCATACATTCTGTGCGTAACCTCTTTTTCTCGTATTCTAAAACATCACTCACCAACATAGTAGCTGTATTCATATCATGTGAAGCGGCATATAACTGGATGCGATTCTCATCAACATTCACTTCAGCAAAGATTCTTTCATCCAAACAAGCTTTCCTAATACGTGAAACATGACCAAGCAAATTACTGTTGGATTTCCCACAAAATCTTTTGAGAAGAATAGTGCCAAAACCAGTCAATGTCTTTGTTTGCAACTTCCGTTCTTCCATCTTGGATACATCAAACGAGGGAGGGGGTTGAAGGTCGTATAATGATTGAAACTCAACAGCACTAACACAGACCAGATATTCATTAGACACTGAGAGAAGGTCACCGAAGACCACCCAACTAGGCTTCTGAGCAAATACGAGCAAGGAACAAGATGGATGCAGTTGAACATGTTGTCCAGTTTGCGCTACTTCATAACCAAGTTGATTGCGTCCAGAAAACATGGCTACATTTTCAGAAAGTGAGGCCAGTATAACCTTTTTCATATTCTTATCATGAACAGAAGGTGTATGAGGATCCCAACGCCAGTAACTTGGAACAACAAAGCCATGTTCACGCTCTAGAAAAGATTCTAACTCGAAAACTGTGTCTTCGCATCTCCTCATAGATTTAGCATTGATACTATTTTCCCAACACCACTTATTCCTCCTCTCTCGAGGCAGAGCCTCCCATTCTTTGTACACAGAGAGAAGTGTAAAAAGGTCACCATCAGAATGGCAAAATTGCACTTTGAGACAATCAGATCTTTGCTTATCACCTTCATTACCAAATCTGCAAAATATGTTACTAGCATTGGGCATCATGGCAGCAAGGACAACACCTTCTCTGCCCAGAGCAAGTTGGAAACAGCCAAGAATAAGTTTACCATGCCTAGGTTCAATCCCCATTCTTGCCAAGTACCTACCTTCATAAGTTAGCTCATGAACATCATTGTTCAGTTTAATGAATCCTAATTGAATTAGATTCCTGATCGCCATCTCAATAGAACTAGGGCTTGGAGCATCCACAAAATCAAAATCCTGCACATTCTTCACCCCTAAAGCAAGGATCTTCAAAACTGCTACACCAAGATGAACTCTCCGAATCTCAGGTTCTTGATTTAGTTCCATAGAATGATAATCAGCTTCTGAGTACATCCTATAGCACCTGCCAGGCTCAGTCCTCCCAGCACGACCTGCCCTTTGATTAGCTGAGCTCTGGCTGATCCAGCAAACCTTAAGTACATTCATCCCAGTGCAAGGATCAAATCGGCAATCTTTAACCAACCCAGAATCTATCACATACTTAACACCAGGAATTGTAATTGATGTCTCTGCAAGATTGGTTGAAAATATCACTTTCCTTTTTCCAGGATAGTTCTGGAAAACATGAAATTGCTCTTCGGATGTAAGTTTTCCATGCAAGGGCAGAGCAACAGCAGATAGGACTTTAAACTTTTCACAGGCCCATTCTACTTCTACCTGTGAGGTCAGAAAGGCAAGAATAGTTCCTTCCTTCTCTGTTTTGTGAATCTCTGTTGCCATTTTGACAACATCAACAACATAGGATTCCACAGCAGCGGAGCCAGAATGATCTCCATAATCAGAAGGAACATATCTCATCTCAACCGGGAAGTTTCTCCCATTTACATGAAAAACTCCACAGCCATAGAAATAATCCGATAG